ACCTTCGGTGTCTGACCAGCTGCTCTGCAGTACCTGTTTAACTTCTACACTGCAGACCTTTCAGACTCCACAGACTGGCACCTGTTCTCCGATGACTCTGCCATAGCTGGTCTCATTAAATAAGAGTGTGATTCAAAGTTGAGTGCATTATTGCCCTCTCCTGATCCCAGGTTAAACTAAGAATCCTGCTAAATATTGGTGATTTGTTCGATTTCAGCCGAACAGCTAACATTCGATTATATAAGCCTGCCTCTAAATCTCAGATATGAGCAGGTTAAACCTTTATTTAAGGTTAAAATCCATTCTTATTAAGTCTTGCAGACCATGAAGACATGTGAAGCATAAACCAAGCTTAATGTTATTTTAACTTTCACAATGCAACGTTCGCACAGATTTCTTTATAAAGCCCCTGTCATAACTTGATGAATTAAACGCGTATGCCTGACATACGAAAAGTCTGGCAAAAAAGCTGGCATATGTTGGATAAGTTTTGAGTACGTTTTGTATAAGTAATGAGTACGCTGAAGCACGCTGAAGCATGCTGGGACACATCAACATACGGCAAGTACGTTGGGAAATTTTGAGTACGCTCATAATTTCTTGACGTACTCTGCTTATTCATTCCTACTATACTTATTTATTCTACTCTACTTATTTATTTCCTTCCTGGCTGTCGTGTTATTTCCTTGTTAGCTGAACATGAACGCCATCATGTTGTGCATAGTAATTTTTAGTGTCAGTGTGCATGCGATATTTAAGACATAAAGATATAACTCACTTCGACATCTGGTTGAGATCGTCACATGAGAAAGGAAGCAGCAGCTTGAAGCGAGTCAATGTGGTTCCTTTACACCAGTCCAGCACCAGTTTACGAAACATCGAAGCCTTCCCTGTCCCCACAGCACCATACAGCAACACATTGAGTCCGAGCCCTTCGTTCCAGGTACCAGTGGGCTCAAACAGCTCTTCTATAGTGAGAGGATGGCTAGAGGAGATCTGAGTTTGGTAAGGTAATCGGAGAAGTCCTGCCGTCTCCTCCTCCTTTCTCTCTATCATCAGTGGATCTACATACATGGTCTCTGGGCTAAAGAGACCTCCGAACTGTTTCTCCTCTTTAGGAAGGTGGCTGAACCAGAGGAAGAGTTTGCTCTTGTGGATCTCTATGGGGTCTGTTGTGAGACAGAAAGAACAATCCTGTGTAAAAAGTGTGTTAAAATGTTACCTTACACCTAAATTAGAGAATAAAGTCGTAATATTAAGAGAATAAAGTCATAAATTATGAGAATAAAGTTGTATTTTATGACAAGTCCTACAAGAAATAGTAGAATGAAATAACGAGAATATTACAACTTTATTCTCGTTATGTTATGTCTTTATTTTCGTATTCTTATAATCTTATTCTCGGAATTTTATGACTTTATTCTTGAAATGAAAATAAAAAAATCTCTAGCCTGGCCCTAATAATGTCGTAGCTTAGCCTAAAGACATTCCAGGTAAAAATGGTTGCTGCATTTCTTCAAGGATTTTGCATGTTCTCACCATGCATTCAAAGGATCTCTCATGAACTCATCTCCATCTCACAGCCCGAAACATGTCTATTAGTCTAACCAACCCCCCAGACTCTCTTTCAGTCCCAGACCTCAATGACACATCCTGCTCAGTTATTGTCAGACTGGCACCAAAAAGAAATGTTTAAAGCTTCAGATGTACATTTAAACCTGTATTAACCATAGTTTATACATGGACAAGTTTGAAGAAATGAATAACCTCCACCAGGTGGGGCAGCTGGAGCTTTGCTATAATAAAATCAATTGAGCACCAGACGGCAAGTATAATGGAGAAAGAAATAGAGAACTCAGCAGCTTCAATGACTTTTTTATTTAGAATTTCTAATCAGATTTGACTATTTTATAAACAGTCATTTTGTTTAAATCAGCCAAACAATTAATTTGAGTTTCAATGGCCTGCAGTTTGTGTTGCTTCTAAACATACCCATTTTTTATGTTCAGAACATGCTGGTTATTAACAATAATTCTACTGTTTCTGTCTGTAGTTACTGTGACGACTCCTTAGTCAATACAGACATTTAAACTAAAGCGCATCTCGTACTTATGTTCTCCGTCTAACTGACTGGAAAATCTGAAAGTATTTTTTTATGTCTGCTGCATTAACTGCCACTGTTTATTTATTGAAGTCTAGTTAAAGTTTGCATGTTGCTGTTATCTTCGTCTAGGAACTAATTAGAAAAAGCAATGCACCTTGATTAGAAGAGATGGAGCTGAAGGTCTTGCAATGACAGCAGGACACTTCTACTCTCCTCTGCCAGCTCCAAGTTCTGGGCAGTTGAATTCTCTGTCTGGAAAGAAAAACAAACCTTATTGGTTCATTCATGAGAAATGTGAGGTTTCCTCTTAAAGGGGAACGCTTTTTTTTTATTTTTTATATTGGGCCCTTGATTTTACGTTATTCCATCATATTCTACTCACCCATATGAGTTTTGCGTCATTTGGAGCTGTTCTGAAG